AAAGGACTAATTCAAAACTTGGATGCATAAACAGGGGATCTCAAGTGGGAGAAGAACTGTTATTTCACCTCTGTATGGCACACGTGTAATTGCTGCTGGAATGCTGTCTCCAGTATTGGTGTCCACAATACAAGAAGATTGTTGATAAATTGGAGAGGGTCCAATTTATCAACAGGAAAACCACAAGAATGATTAAAGGATTAGAAAACGTGCTGTCTTCTTTGAGTAGTGTTCTTGTGGGTGCACCTGTGCCTTTGATTGGGGATTTTTGGTAACATTGCCCATGTGGCCCATACATGTGCCCCACACATCCTTGTGCCCCACACCAAGGCTATATGGGATTGTGTGGGTGAACCACTTTGTTCCTTCTTAAACACTTTGGGCCTGAGACAGAGTTTACCTATGTCTATTCTCTGTAGTATTCAGCAATTAGTTACTTAGCATATAATTAGATACCTTTTTAGTGTTTTTAGTTGTAGGAACATTTGTTTACCCCCCCCCTTTTTTTTCCTTTCCCTTAAAAAAAAATATTCATAGATATAGTTAGATAGTGGTTAAGATTTTTCCCTTCAGAGGGGTCAGTTTTTGTTTATTTACACGAGAATGCTGGGCTCCCTGGGATTCAAAAAGTGCCTCTCCTGACATGAGGCTATTCCATTCCTAGTGTCTCTGCTGTAGGGTGACCATATAGGAAGTATAAAAAATCGGGACGGGGGTGAGGGGTAATAGGTGCCTATATAAGAAAAAGCCCCCAAAATCAGGGTTGTCCCTATAAAATCGGGACATCTGGTCACCCTACTCTGCTGATTGGGTGATACTCATATCCCCAGTAAGTGCAAGACCTGCATGTCCTTCAAGAGTAGAGCCAGAAAAAATAGGGAGATCAAAGTTAAACTCCTCATGATGGAGAAAGCTTTATGATCAGCTTTGGATCCATGGGTGAAGGGCCCCCCCCCCACATATGTAGACCCCCGAGTACCGCTAGTGCCCTGTCAGCATCAAGATCTCAGTCACTGGAGGCTACAAGACATATAGGTGGTACTGCACCACCAAGTACATTTACAGTACCACAGACCTCAGTCTCAATATCTGGCTCTAAGAAGAGGTGAGGAATAAATCTTCAAGAAAATATCAATCACCAATGCACAAGCAGACTATGGAGACCTAAGATCCCAAAAGGAGTTGCACACAGGCTCCAAGTGATGCTGGCGCTGCAAATGCAAAGTGGACTCAGTCATCTTAGAGACACTCGGTACCGAGCTTGGGTATCCATACCCAAAGTGGCAGAGACACAGTTGAGAAAAGTTCTGAGTCCATCCCTGAACAACACTCCGTATCTATAACCAGAAAGTCAGTGGTACCAAAGACTGCTCGGCTACCCGTGGTACCAATGGAATTGGAGCTGACTCACTCTCATGCCAACCACCTGCATCACAACTGAAGACATCCTCCACAGGTCCGCACTCAACCCAATATTTGATACCATCAGTACCACAAGAATTTAGGTACCCTAAAGGCCTGATGGTATCATCAGAGCCAGAATCTCCTCTGTTAACAAGTGCTGGGGGTTATCAGCATCAAGATTCTCTCACCCCTCTGGCTCCTAGAGTACCATACCCACCCTCATCTACTTTGCAAGTGGAACAGCTATCTGCCTCCCCCCCCCCCTTGTAGTATGTGGAAGAGGACACCTCAGACTCTCACATATTGGTTCAGAGATCCCCTGTCTATTCTAAGATTCATCTCTCTCCCTCCAAGCTGACATATTAGAGGAGAATAGACCTCAAATGGCATCAACGTGATTACCTCCACCTATGTCATTTGTCCCCCTGAGTGGCCTTGATGGGATCTTTGGATGTTCTGTCATCAATAATTTGCAACACAATCTTCACACCACCTGAGGGAGCAGAGAAGGGCCCATTCTCCTCAACATCCTCTACCACCACCTGTGCCAGAGGAGGAGACCTTTGGGGAGCAAGAAGCAAGAGCGGATAAAGAGGTGACACTTCTTACTAGTATTTCCTCCTCCTCACCTGATGAAGCTGTGATGCCTCCATCACCTTCCGTGGTGGATGACTTCAAGTAGTTTCAGGAACTGCTGAAGCAAATTGCTGACATTCAACAAATTCCTTTAGAGCATGTTCAGGAGTCCCACCATAAACTGCTATATACTTTACACACCTCCTCATTTATGAAGATTACCACTCTGGTCCATGAAGCTCTTATGGGGCCTGCTAAAACTGTTTGGCAATCCCCAACTACCGCACTGCCTACCTGCAAAAAGCATTATGTCCCTGCCAGAGAATCAGAGTTTCCATTTTTTTACCCAGCTCCGAATTCCCTGGAAGTGGAGTCCATTTATGAACAAGGCAGACAGCATAGCTCAAAGTCCACCCCGTATGCAGGAGTCTTACTCTTCAGCTACACTTCAGTTCAGAATAGCAAGTCACCAGGTGCTCATGGCCAAATATGACTATTTGAACTACCAAAAAAAATAGTATTTTATTGTGACCAATTTAAGGTGATTATACAACAGGGTCAGTTCCTGGCAAAGACATCCCTCCAGGCCTCCTTGGATGCTGCAGATACTGCAGCACAATCTGTATCCACTCCAGTGGTCATAAGAAGAGTGTCTTGGTTGCAGATCTTGGGCTTCCCAAGAGGGGTTCAGAGCACCATTGAAGACCTCCCTTTTGATGGTTGCAAGCTCTGTGCAGACTCAATGGATACATATCTCCACACTTTAAAGGATACACTGTGATCCTTAGGGATTTGTATTCTTGTAAATAAGAGGAGATTTAGTAGGTCTCAGATGGCACAGATAGCACACCAGCCCCGTATTCAACTTGTCATAGACCAGCTGAGCCCCTTTCCAACAGGCCAAGATACTCTAAAAAGAAACTTCATTCATCTGTAGCTACTTCTCAGCCATGTGCATTCTCCAAGCAAAAAAGAATGGAGAGTGGAGACCAGTTGAAGCATCCTTTTGAGCCACTAGCTACATGTTCTTTGTTAGTTTATTCAGTGAGGACAGCCTTCCTGGTGGCAATCACTTCTGCCCAAAGAGCTGGGGAATTAGGGGCTTTAATGCCAGACACCCACACACACATTTATGGTATTCATCAGAGACAAGATTTTGCTATGGGCCCATCCAAGATTTTTACCTTGGGTGTCTTCAGAATGAATTAATCATTCATCTCCTGTTTTTCCCCAAGACTAATCAAGAAGCCATGTTCCATACCCTAGATGTCAGGAGGGCATTAGCTTTTTACTTAGATAGGACCAAACCTTATAGAAGATCTCCAAGACTATTTGTATCCTTTGTGGACCGAAACAAGCATTCTGTTATTTCAAAACAGGAGTTATCAAAGTAGATCTCTGGATGTATCAAGATCTGTTACAACTGAACTCATTTTCAACCCCTTTGAGAGTGATTACACATTCAACAAGAGCACTATCTGCACCTGTAGCCTGACTTAAAGATGTACCAATTGTAGACATCCAGAGAGCGGCAACTTGGTCCTCTGTTCATACTTTTTCTATCCATTATGTCTTGGTCCTTGCTGCAAGATATGACACTGCTGTGAGCAATGCAGTTCTCTCCTCTGTATTGGACTCTGTTCCGAACCTCCTGCATCCTTAGCGGGGTACTGCTTAGGAGACACCTGAAGCAGAGCACCCACAGAGATGCTACTCAGAGAAGGAGGAGAGGATACTCACCTTGTGCAGTAGCTGGAGTGCTCTGAGATGTGTCCCGCTGTGGGGGATCTGCTACCCACCCTCCTCCTCTGCTGCTTCGGTGTCTCCCTTTTGGGACTTGGCAGAGGAGAAGGAACTGAGGGCAGTTCGCCCACACAGCCCCGGTGTGGGGCACAAGGATGTCTAGGATGTATGCGTGGGCTGAAGAGGCATTGCTGTGATCAAAGGCGCATGGCACAGGCACACCTGAGGTGGAGCACTCACAGGGACACACATCTTGAATAACTCCAGTTACTGCACAAGGTGAGTAACCTCTCTTTATAGACTCAAAGAACTCAAGGTATTTAGCTCAACAAAGATAAGGTTAAGGCATGATTTGATTACAGTCTATAAATACCTACATTGGGAACAAATATTTAATAATGGGCTCTTCGGCCTAGCAGAGAAAGGTCTAAGATGATACAATGGCTGGAAGTTAAAGCTAGACAAATTCCAACTGGAAATAAGGCGTACATTTTTAACAGTGAGAGTACTTAACCATTGGAACAATTTCCCAAGGGTTGTGGTGGATTCTCCATCACTGACAATATTTAAATCAAGACGGGATGTTTTATTATGAGCTCTACTCTAGGAATTACTGTGGGGAAGTTCTCTGGCCTGTGCTATACAGCAGGTCAGACTAGATGATCATAGTGGTCTCCTCTGGCCTTGGAATCTATGAATCTCTGATAGCTGCAACAGCCCTGTATTCCTAGCCCCAGGAGTGGGAATTGAATAAGGACATTAATTCTACTTAATAATATTCAGACACGTACAGTACAGGGTTACTAGTGAGACTCTGTGGAACCTGGGCATTCCTCTATTCAGCTACTGAATAGGCCCAAATCTGCTTAGTTTATGAGCTAAACTAAGCTCAACCCAAGGTGTATTGCATACTGTGATGCTCCAGTATTACTGTTTGATGTGATCTTGTTACAGATCTTTCTATAATCTCTTTACCTTCCCTACCATCACCAATACAAGCATGCATGGATTTTCAGATTTCTGATAAAGCAGACATGCACAACTGAGCGTGATAGCAGGAGATGACATTTTAGCTGCACATTCCCCATAAATAGTAATGGAATGGGCGTGGCTAAATCCTGAAGTAGCTGTTGAAAATCATGGAGGTATTTTAGAACCACCGCTGTAAGAATGCCCAACAATATGATCTGTATAGCACTATCCAATCACTCCTTCATCTATAAACAACTGAGCAGGAATTTTCACATTTTCATTTTTGTGTCCCTCTTCCCTTTCAGGTATTAGCAATGCAGAAGCCCGCCAACCAGGAAAAGCACCTAATTTCAGTGTAAACTGGACAGTAGGAGACACTGGTCTTGAAGTTATTAATGCCACAACTGGCAAGGATGAGATGGGTCGTGCATCTCGGCTTTGTAAGCACGCTTTGTACAGTCGCTGGATGCGTATTCATGCAAAGGTATATGTCCAAAGATTGGAGTATATTTTTACTGTTGGGTTTCAATTTTGCTCAATCTCACAACCACCTTTCTAATAAAAGCTTGTGATGTGCTGCCTTATTATGTGCTGGTTAGTAATTGGGTAAAAATGGGGAAGAGAGATGTCTTTGTTCCACATTTTCTTTACTATGATAATTTCTAGTGTAAATGTATGTGAAGATCTAATTACCTGCCTCTAGAACAAGTAAAGTACAAATGTTGACTCCTTTGAGCTTTGCTTATAATTTTAATGTACTGGACAAGATAGACTCTTTTAGGAGCTCTTCTGGAGCCCAGCACACAGAATACGAAGGTTCCTGTTTGAGAACATGTGGGTAAAAGCCTAGCCCCATTGAAGTCAAAGGTAGTGGCTTAAGGGGGCCAGGTTTTTTTCCCTTGGTCTTCCCCAGAAGGTGCAGGTAAAGGTCAAATAATTGCTTTTTAAAAGTTTGGATTTCTTTTCCTCATGATAGTTGATACTTTATAAAAATGGAAAGGTACAAGCAGTAGACCATGGTCCTTAGGGTTCTCCCAGTCCTCTCTTCAAAGCATCTGTATTGATAGAAGCAAATAGCACCTTGAGCCAGTCATTTCAGCAGAATCAGTATTCCTACAACAGTCCTTTGGAGTCTATCATTTCTTATTGTAGTGTGGCAAGGCACTGAAATACTGCAATGTAGACAGCTGGGTGCTGAGATTGTAGCATAAGCTTGTCATTCACTTTCACCCCATGCCGTTTTCTTAGTCCTTTGTCACTGTTCAGAGATCCTTCTCACAAGAATATGTGGAAGGAAGACATTTCTGTCTTTTTAAGGGCAGTAGAGCAGGCAGGATTATGGGGAAAATAAAGCCTTATTCAGAAAAATAATAACCCCTTAGGTTTAAATGTTTTTCTTCCTCCCCTGCCCAACTTTGTTAACGTGTCACTCTGAAATATTTTCATGAACAGATATGAATGGGTGGGGTCACAAGTGATGGCTTGACAAAGTGGTGCTGCCTAGTGGGTGGAATCCATTATGACTTGGTGTTGGTGAGAGAGGATTGGGAGGAGTTGTGAAACATTATGAGGTACTAGTTCACTAGAATCTAGAAACTTCTGGAGAGTAGGCAGCGTTCCTAATAACATGCATTGGGCCAGCTCAGCTTAGTTTTCAGTCTTTATGGGGCTGAATTAGCTAGGTGGCTGTTTCTCAGTCCTACTGTAGTAAATGTGAAAGCTCTAAATGTCAATACTGCAAAGGGCTGATTACTCTTTAGAGGTCAGCAGACATAAGTACATTAATTTAACTGGCTGATGCGGAGGGAAGTGGTAGGAAACAAGCAATTGAATAAACTAAAGTAATGAAAACAGATAATTCTTCCAAAGTGAAAGGTAACCATTGCCGAATGTGTAAAATAGCAAGATAGAAAGGATTTGTGCTTATCTCAAAGAATGCAAAAAATATTTTTCTCTGGATTCTTCAAGATTAAATGTGCCATTGAAGGAAACTATGTTGAAATAGAAAAGCAAAACATTGATGAATTTACCGATTGTGCAAGTGAGAAATTTGATGCTATCATCACCATCTAAACATATTCTCACTGATCATTTAAATCTACGTTCCAGTCTTTCCAGCAGCTTTTTAACATAAGCCTTGTTCAACAGTAATCTCTGTCCTTCTTTGACATCCCAAAGTAGACCAGTCAGTGATTATGCTATACAGCAACTGAAAAAAATGCAGATTTGGACTTGATAAGAAAGTTGCAACCTTCTTTTATGCTAACAACTTCACCTTCAGTGTAACAGAAAATGAACAATTTAAGAAACAGTTAAAGCACTTCACCCTGGATGTTCTCTTCCAGACAGATCCACTTCTGCATGCTGCAAGTGAAAACACAGGAAAAATTAAAGGGAAAACAAAAAGAATTACATTGACTTTAATGAAAGATGGGATAGTTGGCTGAACATGAGAAACAAACTGATAGCTTCAAGGCTCAGTTCAGGAGAAAATGCTTTCCTATCCACGCTTAATGGTATTGATTCTACATCTAGGGAAAAACGCAGAATGATGTGTCCAAATTGCTGAAGATATCATCCTGTAGCACAGAAAAGAGTTGCCATTGCCTCACAGAACAAAAATAAAATGAAAAAGATGAGAGACTTTCTGGGGTCCAGTTATCCCCAATATCTGACACACGAGTTTTCAAAGCACCATTTGCATTGGTGTTTCTACATTCTGCAGGAGCAGAACCACGGGCTTTGGGGAGCTTCTGTTCAGTATTTCGCTTATTAATCTATCCTGTAGAGCCGCTTCAGCTGGTCCTGCTGTCATGCACCCCCCTTTCATGGGGCAGGGAGGGTGACAGGAGGTTACACATAGGCCTTCCACCCATGCTGCACAGGGGGTGTGTATCTCCTGCTTAAGGCCCTGGAATACTGCTTCCCTCCCCCAGCCCTGCTGTCAGGGGAGCCTTTGCAACCACAAAGGTGGGTGGGAACTGTCTCATGAAGAGTAGAAGGGTGGGTTTCAAAGAGAATTCCAGCCAGTTGCTATCAAGCAATATGATGATGGTTTCAATTTGACCTTCAAGGTGCTTATGGAAATGAGTAGATCCTCAGGGATCCCACTGGACCAATAGTTTTGCTATGAGCTGTGAAGTGATACGTAGTTGGATACAAATCAACAGTAATGTTCTATCCAAAAAGGGTAGAATACAGTGTTTGTCGTTCTTGCAAATTGCTGCACTCATTCTCTCGTTTTCCTTGATTCTGGTTCCTGGAATGGCTTTGTGTAATAGTTTGTTTTCTTTCTTTTTCTATTTGTGCAGCTTTCCTCTAGCCTGCGCTCAAAGATCCTCAAACCGAACCTGTACCATGACACTAAGCAGGTGGCCACTAAGTATCAAACTGCCAAAGAGTGTTTGTTTAAAGCGTTCCTGAAGGCAGGGCTTGGAGCCTGGGTGGAGAAACCAATAGAGCAGGATCAGTTTTCTCTCACTGTCTAATCCATGGACTGCACATCACTTTGGAACAATTCTGGAAATCCTGGCGTCCGGCATCATTTTCTGGCATCAGCTGTCAAAGCATCTTTTTGACACTTTGAAACTAACTAGCAAATCGATGTTATGTTTTGCTCAAATATTGGAAGTCAATGATAAGTTGCTACAATAATTCTATATTTTGTTATAAAAATAATTTTGATTTACTTCTCTAGAAAATCCTCTTACTGTAGAAAAAAATTCAGTAAGGCTGTCTTTAACAGGACCAGATGACTCATATTTTTCTGGGTTAGAAATAATTCCCTTTTTTAATGCAATATAAGCAAGTGCATGAAAACATGTAGATTGCATTAGGTTTTACACTGCATTTTTTTAGCCTGTAGCTTAATTTAATCAAAAGAAGCTACAAAGTTAATTTCTGCTCTTCTGTTAGCGTGGTTTGTTTTTTGTTTGTTTGTTTGTTTGTTTTTTGTTTAATTGCAGAGCATATAGGTGACAAAGTCAGAATGGATTTTGGACAGCTAGCTTTTCCCTTCTTCCTTGCTCTTTAAAACCAGCTGCTGAAAACTTCATGTCTTTGATGTACGTATTTATTAGTCTGTGACCTGGTTTTTAACATACCGCTTTTTGTTCTGTTTTTTAAAATACATTTACATGCATTGTGAAGTCATCATTTTTTACCACTGGAAACTGGAAACAAAAAATAAGTATTTGTAAGTTAAGAAATTTAGTCTATAGTGTACAAAACCTGTTTAGAAGTAGGCAATTTGTATATCCCAGGAACTCATGCAAACACCACCATAACATTAACAGTAATGTGGCAACTTCAAAAAAACAGTTGTTCATTTTGGGGAAATAATTCTGATTTGCCAAAAATAACCCATTCATAGAATGTTAATTACAGTTTTTCTCAAAGAAATGAGAGGCCTAGTAAGGATGAAAGAATTGTTAAACTTCTTTTTTGTGGTCTTCAAAGACTTAACAACTGGACTGTTGTGTCCCCTGAAGATTGTATTGCCTGTAGCTTCACATACATGATGATCTATAAAAGTCTTAGTTCTAAGTTTTGTTTGCTCTAGTATATATTTAGAATGGTATTTTATTTATAAAAGCTCTTTTATGTTAAAATTTTCACATATGCTAGATGTAAAAATGAAAAATAGCAGGGAAAATACTGCCAGGTCTGTTAAGTCAGTGGGTGCATAGACAGCACATTTAGAACAATTTGTAAGCGAAATGAAAGTCTGACGATGGATTGGAGAAATCCACTTTTTCTCAGCATAGCAGGTATAATTCTCTAGTTCCATCCAATATGTCTAAGTACATGATGTGACCTGTGTATCAAATATATTGCGTGGACAAATTCTGAAAAACACCTCAAAGTATTTTTAAGTCCTATTTTTTTAAAAAATTAATTTATAATAGCAGTAACTACCTCAGCACCGGGCATTTCCTGGAGAGTAGTGGCTCCATGGATGTTGTGGAAAGTGATACAAAAACTCTTTCCATCCAGTAATCAATACGCTGGAAATGCCCTGTCCTGCAATCATTATTGCTCAATTATGAATCAAAGTGAAAAAAATTATCAAGACTAAAAGTTGCCTGAATATTGTACTAAACCTCCTAATTAGAGTCTGAGTAGCAATACACGAATGTGTAAAATAAACTCTGGTAGGGGAAAAACATTCAGAATGTGTGAAGGCAAGTAATGTACATGCTCTTTCAAAATACAAGATTTACATTGTGTCTGTCTTTGCAAATGTCTTTGGCCCTCAACCTGCAAACACTTTTGCAATTGCTTAAAGTTAAGCACAAGTAGACCCATGGAACTGCTCATGTGCTCAAAATTAAACGTGTGCATAAATTTGCAGGATTGAAGCCAAAATGTGGAGAACTGTAAATTAGAGCAATTTGTGAATTTTCTAGTTGGTCTCACCATGTGGATTTTCTTGGAATTAGTCTAACTATTAAATGAAATCTCTGTTTTTAAGGGACTCTGTTTATTGATGATTTACTTTGCCATCTTAATCTATTTTTACCAATCTTTTTAAATTTCTCATTCAGAAGTTGAGCTCTCTTCAGATTTTATTTTGAAGTTCAGGCAGTTATTAGATGAGATTATTTTTTTATTGATGAAGTCCTGAATGTGAGTAATATATTTAAGTATTATTGTAGGCATAAATTTTAAGACATTCAAATTTACTATGAATATATGGAAACTATAAGTGAGAGTTCCAGGTAGAATTCTTTTTGATAAAAGAGCATTATTTGATTCATATGAGGAATGAGTTCTCATTCATTATAGTTCTAGGGTTTTCAAAATGTTTTCCAGGATCATGTGCAACCCATATCAGTCATGGAGGAGCCAATGGCTTTCCGCACACCTGCTTATTCATTTTTGTTCAGTAATATGTGAAAATCAGAAGTTGTAGGGAAAAAAAGTGTTCCTGTAAAAGATTTCTTTGAGATTGTTATATTCAGCTAAATTCTGCCATGTCCCTTTTTTGTCATTCTGTGCCCCTTTATATTCTTGGCCTTTGTATTCTTTGTAATACTCCTATATTCTTTACAGATCACCATCATCAAGCATGGATGGCTTTTTATGCATTTAATTTTAAATGATTGCAGAGGATAAAGGCAACATGGCTGCCAACAGCTGTTGAAATTTGGGGTTGACCTTTCTCTATCAAGCATTTAGCTTGCCATTTATTTTGAGAGGTTGGACGGTCTTTTTGAATATCTTCATTGTGCGATTTAGTATGTAATGGTGGTGGTGGCTAATCTTAGCAAGGATTTGTTATGCTATCCTGGGAATTCTTGGGGTTTTTTAAGTTGATATAAGTGTATATCTCAGGTTCGTCACAAAATTTAAATGAGTAACAACTTTAAAGTTAATAAATACTTGAAGAAATATAATTTAAGATGTTTTTCCAAATTACATTCTAGCTACAATAAAAGATAATAGGTTAGTAACATAGAACACTGTAAATGTAGGGATTTTTTAAAAAAATATATTCTGTAGGGGAGTAAAAAGGAACTAGGACCTGGAAGTGAAACTTGAAGCATTTGGTTATGTCCATGCTCAGGATTTAATACCCAGAGAACATGTCCTGTCACTTGCTGATGATGAATCATACTAATCAGAGTTCTTTAAGTTAAAAACTGTCTTCACATTAATATGCTAGCTCGTTCCCATCCCCCCACAAAGCTCCCAACCCTTTGGTGTAGTTAGTGATAAAAATTATGATAGTTAAATAGTGTGCAACTTAGACATGTGCAACAATGGGCTCCCTGCACAGGTGACAGTTTTAGTATCTTCCTCATTCTAGATAGTACAAACACACTATTATAGGGTAGAAACGAATTAATGGGGGGGAACCCTCAGAGTAGCCGCAGATCTTTATATGGTGCCATCATTAAAACCTAAAACAACTCACGACTGAAATTTCAGGCACCTCAGAGCTGCATCACTGGTGTTTTGTTTTACCAGTATGCATCTCTGATTTTAAATATTTTAACCACCTAAAAATAAATACAATCTTTCAACTGGATACCTTGTATGTACAAATTATAATACTTCCTGCTGGTGAGGGGGTAAAATTATTAGTTGTAGGCTGCTGATCCCAGCTAACACAGTGTTGTGCACTCAATTTGCATGTCTGTAATGAAAGAGTCAAGGTGACATCATGAAAACTGTTTTCTTTCCCATCTCTCCCAAAGACAAATTATTTTTCAGAGGGAGAAAGACTTGAGTCTTGGGACATTTTGAGTTGAGGTTGCCACATAACTGAAGTGGAACTTTCTTTCTTATTTTTTTTAAATAACACGCTAAAGGTTCTCCATACATTGAAAATTATCTTTTTGCCTTTTGCCAAAGCAAGCTTTTTCACTCCGAGGGGACAATTTCAAGTCTTTGCATTTTTATCATAATAGAGTGTCTGTTATGAAAATCATCCTGAAGTTTTTTGAATGGGAAGGTGAGCTGTGATTCAGATATGTGATGGGAAACAAAATGTTTATAGTTATTTAAAACATAAAAGTGAGCCCACAGAAATAAAATGTATACAAAATGTATAAAATATATTATCCTGTCTCCGAATTGCTGTGTGGTTTTTGGTTTTGGTTTTTTAAAAACAGGCAGCCTTATAAAATAACATATCAGCTGAACTGAAAGTTTTTTGGTGCAATTTACGGTAATACTTGGGTACAGTCCCAATCAGATATAGACTGGACATGATGAAAACTGCTGCATAAGAGTGTGGTATGGTTTTATTTATTTATTTATATGCATATTAAGAATATCATAGAAGATTAGGGTTGTAAGAGACTTCAGGAGGTCATTTAGTCCAACCCCCTGCTCAAAGCAGGACCAACCCCAACTAAATCATCCCAGCCAGGGCTTTGTCAATTTGGGCCTTAAAAACCTCTAAGGAAGGAGATTCCACCACCTCCCCAGATAACCCATTCCAGTGCTTCACCACCCTCCTAGTGAAATAGTGTTTCCTAATATCCAACCTAGATCTCCCCCACTGCAACTTGAGACCATTGCTCCTTGTTCTGTCATCTGCCACCACTGAGAACAGCCTAGCTCCACCCTCTTTGGACCCCCCATTCAGGTAGTTGAAGGCTGCTATCAAATCCCCCCTCACTCTTCTCTTCTGCAGACTAAATATCCCTAGTTCCCTCAGCTTCTCCTCATAAGTCATGTGCCCCAGCCCCCTAATCATTTTTGTTGGCCTCTGCTGGACTCTCTCCAGTTTGTCCACATCCTTTCTGTAGTGGGGGGCCCGAAACTGGACGCAATACTCCTCACCAGTGCTGAATAGAGGGGATTAATCACTTCCCTCCATCTGCTGGCAACTATATAGATATATACACACACTAATGCAGCCCAATATGACATTAGCCTTCTTGGCAACAAGGCCACACTGCTGACTCAAATCCAGCTTCTCGTCCACTGTAATCCCCAGGTCCTTTTCTGCAGAACTGCCGCATAGCCAGTCGATCCCCAGTCTGTAGCAGTGCATGGGATTCCCATTGAGTCCAGGATTTCATCCTATACATTTAAATATTGTTGACTTTAATAATGAAGCAAAACAAAATCATTTAAATAAATATCAAAAGTAACATGGATTTTGAAATCCCTGTACTGACAATTTTGTACTCTTGCTGCTAATCATGCCAACAGTAGAGCAGAAGGCCTTTGTGGGGGTCATGCTTTGTTTTTGTTTTCTTTAGTGAAACTATAAAACAGATATAAGAATGTAATTTATGTACATAATAATCTAATCCATTTGGAGACAGCAGTTGTGACATTTTAAAGAATTTTTATCTTTGAGTGACAGAGTCTGTAGTCTAGGAAGCCCAAAATGTCATCACGTTGCTTTTTAAAATGTTTTCAATATTATCATGCACAGACCAGTTTAGTTGCAGTCAGCAGATACATGGTTAGAAGATTAAAATACAATGTAAATAAATTGCTCTACATTGTTCGCATGAAGAAGTTACTCTTGCCCTATTTCTGACTTTGTGATGTGGTGAAGACAACACACCTGCCTTTACTAACTGATAAAGGGATATTAAAAGAGCACTGGCAAATACTTTTATGACAATGTTTATTTTTGGTTGTCCTCTCCATCCTTCCTAATCCCTCCTTAGAATATTCACCTTAGCAGTGTCTCTAGAAATGTTATTTTCCTTGGGGCACAAACACTCCCCACTCCACCCCGTACTGCTACTGAAGCACACTCCACTGATTATCCTAACTAATTACTCTGCTTTGCATACTACCTTGCTTCGTTTAATTCATTAATACTCGTACAGCGATTTGAAAATACATAGTTATATAAATACTAAGAATTATTATTTGTACATCAGTATTGTCAGTGTCAGAAAAATGTACCCAGATCATGGAGCTGTGTCGCTTATCAGAAGCTGTAGATACAACACACCCAGCACAAAACATTGTGTAGGTCCTTCCAACACCTAGTTATCATGTTAGTTACATCATGAAGAATACTCCATAACAATTTCAGGGTGCGAATTGGGTTGGGTCTCAGTACATTTTTTGAGGCTACCATCTTGTTCTCTGTAATCTCAGCTTTCATTTAAAACAAAAACTCAAAACAAATAGTAATGGCTTATTTACAGTTGGAAATTTACAAAAATATCTATACCAGAGCAGCGCCCCGCGATTCCGGAATAAGAGTGCCTTTTTCTGATTTAGCTTAATCCGCATCCAAATCCACTATGGAAGTGGATCAAACTAAATCAGAAATGAGCACTCTTAGTCCAAAATAAGTGTGTCCACACAGGGCTATTGCGGTTAATTTCCAGATGTAGACAAAACCCTAGGTCTCTTACCCTGATTGCAAGGAAAACCAGAAAATGTGAACCAAGTACACACCAATATCCTTGATGTGTACAGCCGTAATCTGTAGAGAACCTAAAACAATAGCTGTAAGAAGTGCCCCTGTGCCCCTATGGCATGCTGACGCAAATGCCTAATTACAATAATTAAGTATCAGCATTACTGAGAAAGGGAGGGGAGAAACTCACACACCGATCTGCACGTCTAGCCCAGTCTCCTGTCTTTCGGCAAGTGGCCAGTGCCAGATGATGCAGAGGGAATGAACAGAACAAAGCAATAATCAAGTGATCCATCCTCTGTCATCCAGTCCCAGCATCTGCAGTCAGAGACTTAGGGACATCTAGAGTATGGAGGCACATACTTGACCATCTTAAATAAGAGCTATGGATGGACCTATTCTCCATGAACTTATCTCATTCTTTTTTAAACCCAGTTATACCTTTGGCCTTCACAACATCCTCTGGCAACAAGTTCCACAGGTTGACTGTGCGTCATGTGAAGAAATACTTCCTTTTGATTGTTTTAAACCTGCTGCCTGTTAATCTCATTGGGTGACTCCTGGTTCTTGTGTTATGAGAAGGAGTAAATAACACTTCCTTATTCACTTTCTCCACACCTGTCATGATTTTAGAGACCTCTATCATATCCCCACTTAGTCGTTTCTTTTCTAAAATGAACAGTCCCATCTTTTTAATCTCGCCTCATATGGAAGCTGTTCCATCCCCTTAATCATTTTTCTTGCCCTTCTCTGTAATTTTTCCAATTTGAATACAGTTTTTTTTGAGATGGCCCCACCAGAACTGCATGCTGTGGGTGTACCATGGATTTGTATCATGGCATTATGATATTTACTGTCTTATTACCTAACCACAGTCAGAAGTTCTACAATTCCATATTTGAGTCCCTCCAGAACTCTTGGGTGATACCATCTGGTCCGGTGTTCCAGAGGTGCACAGGGAACACAAGGCCCTGGTGTGCAGCAACAGTGACCTCAATTCCACCTGTGCACAATTTCCTTTGTCTTTCAAGCACACCAGTGAGCCTGGCTGGCAGGGAGCTTGGCCAGCCCCTAGCACCAGAGCAGCTTTACTCTTTCCTGGATGGGGCCGACAATATTAGCCATTACTGTGAGTCTCGGGGAGTCTGACTAGGGGTCACCCTGAACAATGGTGCTCCAGAAACAGCCACTCCCAGCCCTCAGGGCCCTGAGAGCCACCCCCTCATCCAAGAGAAAAGCTTCATCACCACTGACTATTAAAATATACACTGCAGCCCTCACCTACACTGTCAAGCCATCCCGCATCTTCCTGCTGTTTCCACAGGGATAAGCCGAGCAGAGAGGCATGCACAGGGACCTGAGGGCTGGGAACCCTGGGTAGATCTCAGAGCAGACACTATTATCAATTTTAAATAGTTAATCTGCGCACTGCCCTGTTCCACAGCCCTGCAGCTTCCGGCGCAAACACCTCATGTAGTCCTGATGAGACAGCTGTGTGCGCCCCGTGTCTGTTCTCTCTCCTTGTCCAGTAAGGGGAGTCAGGGCCGTGACCGCCTCCTTGCGCTTTGACTGGACCATACCTGGCTCCAGGGAGCCCTGGTGCCTGGCTGGGGCACTGCTGCAATGCGAATAATAAATGACGGGAATATTTCAGACTAGAGCCACCCTCCAAGAGACCAGAATTGAACCGATCCCCATGCAGGGGCTTGGTCCTGCAGGGGCATGAGCCCCACCGTCGTTTTTATAGGGAGCGGCTTCTCTCTGCCTGTTTTTCTTCCTTCTTTTGGACTATGGCTTTGTCAGTTGGCCAGCAGGTACAACTACTGCAGCACTGGTCGGCCTGTGCCGACTCGCCTTCTGTGTCTCCACAGGGCCGGTGTGAGCTTTCCCTGTCTCGCTGGCGTCCTGCTGGAGCTGCACGACGGGTTTCAAGCCAGGTGTAAATAACACGCAATTGTGGCATTGCCTTTTGAGTGTGGGATTTCCTGGGTTTTCTGCTCTCGCTGCCTCGCCTTTGGCCCAGCCCTAGACCCCTCACGGCCCCACCTCTCTGCTGTTTTGCTCTTGGAGAGGGATAGTGTCTGAACCAGCTGCCTAGAGCAGAGTCTGCTTTCTCCTATGAGTCTTAAAACCCAAATATGAGCAGACAGGTTATTGCTCTTATAACTCCAGTTGCTTCCCATTATGCTGTAAGCAAAAGCCAGATTTTGTAGGTTGTATGAGATGTGCTTGCTTTGCTTAGGCCCCTCTCTTCACATCCCTGCGAGGGGCCCAACGGGCTTTCTTTTCTCAGCACTGGGCAAGGCTGGGTTTACAGCCCTTGAGTCCTGTTTGGGATCGGTCCCGGCGTTTACCCCGTCATCCCCCCGGAAGCTGGGTTCACAGCCTCTGCCCCACTGACAGCCCGCGGAGGGAGAGGTGGGAAGCCAAGTCTTCACACAGCATGGCATAGCATTGCTACTGACCAATCCCTATCAGGCTTTCCAGTTTTTCTCTTAAGTGCCTTCCTCCTAGACCTTAGCAGTGAACCCTCCCACCCCAGAATAGCGGGAGCAGCTCTTCATGAAGCGGCGTGTAAAACATCTGGGGCTCCTGCACTCTCTCCCTCAGCCACATCTTGGAGGTGTTGGCTTATATTATTTTAACTGAACATAAGAACGGCCCTACTGGGTCAGACCAAAGGTCCATCTAGCCCAGTATCCTGTCTTCTGACAGTGGCCAATGCCAGGTG